TATAAAATAATTTTAAAATTATTTTAAAATAATTATATAATAAAATTATTATAAAATTATTATAAAATTATTATAAAATTGTTATAAGGTACAATTTTAATAATTGTATTAATATTGTTAAGATGATTTTAACTCTATTGAAAAAAATTAGCTAGTTTCTGTAAAGTAAGCTTATTTATTTAAAAGGTCTTTTTCAAGGATTTAAATTTTAACTAAAAATTGGTAAAACACGAGTGTTAAGATTAGAAGAAGGGGAAGATTTGCAGAAGGTCGAAAATTGAACAAGTGTCAGGTATTGAAGTTAGTTAAGTACTTTTAAATAGTTATTTGTTAATATTATGTTATAGACTTTATATATAGTACTTATACGATCATTATTTTGAGGCAACACTATAGTTTCTGTCCAAACCTAACTAGTTTGGGACTTAATCATTATTTAGAACTAGTTAAACCTGTTGAACTTGTCCCAAACTTACTGTATAAATCGGGATTTGAGACAAAATTTTAGATATAACCAATTTGGGCCAATGGGGGTTTCAGAATTAATAATTCGACGTCTGATTTCAGATAAATAAGTGGTGTTTATTTTAAAAAAAAGTTAATTCTAAAACCCCAATAGTTATAGCTATTTGGACAGCAACTATAGGCAATACCCAAGTATGTTGTATAGAATTCTGATGGGCTAATAAAGTAAGTTTAAATTCTTTTAATATTAAAAAATTTGGCTAGTTTATATAATGATTATATTAGCAGAAATAAAGTTTTGCTCATATACACACAGATCAGAATTTTTATTAATTATTCTATCTTGATATAAATTCGAACTAAAATATATTGTATTTACTTTTAGAATAAGCAATATGGAAGTTTAACTAGACAAAGGGCTTTTGATAGTCATCCTTTTGATTTTAACCTTTCATTTATTATATACAGAGGGTTGAGACTAGTGAGACCCAAGTATTATATTAATTAACAGGAGAGAATGTATCTGATTCAAAGTGAATCTCACATATGATGCGATCAATTTATTTATATTAGTTTTAATTGATTACACTATGTGTGAGATTCACTTTGGATTGGATATATTCCCTCCTGTTTATTGAATTAGCTAGGTGGTGTATGAATTTTGTTTTAAAAAAAGGCCTACTGTTTATAGCATTTAGAAAAATTTAGAAGATAAATGATCTCACTAAACATGTATACTAGCAAAAATTAAATAAAATATCGTACAATTATAAACTAGGCCGAAGAAGTTTTAGAAGGCTTGATCTAAATTTATATGTATTTAAAAATAGTTATTAAATTGATCAGAAATGTGAAGGTTTATTCTTTTTGATTATGTGTAAATAGGGGTTTTAAGGTTAATAAATAAGTAGCATATTTTAAAATTAAATAAGTTTGAAAAACTTAGATTTTGAAATCGAGAGTGTTTGGAGTAAAGATGTGTCTATGTGTAGAAATTGGGCAAAATTCACCACCAAATTTTTTCAGATCACATAATATGATGTCCAAAGTGAAGCGAAGCGGAGATGCTAATTTAATTATTACTGTATTCATTTGCGCTTCATATATGAATCATATATATTTCGAATAAATAACTTCACATGATCTGAAAAAAATTTGGGTGGTGAATTTTACCCAATTTGTGTGAGATGCTGACATCATATTCATATGAATTAATTATATAATCCCATATGAAATAAAATTTTAATAAAATTTTAATAAAATTTTATTAATAGTTATTAATGCATAAGATTGAGATGTGGTGAATGAAGTTACAAGGCATCCTTTTGTCACAAAATCACAACCCACATCCATGATATTGAACAAGTGTTGGGTAAGGGTTAGCAATTTGTAAGTATGAGGTATTGTAAATTGGGTACTGATTTAATTGTTTGATGATGTTAAGTAAATCATATTGTGCAATAAGTACTAATCTATGAGTTTGATGTATTGTATAATGAGTATTATTGGTAAGTATGATGTATTGTCTGATGAGTATTAGTTTATTGATTAAGTGATGCTTATAAGTAATTTGTAAGTATATAAATAAAGGTAGTATAAGGTTATAGTAAATTGCTATATAAGGGAAAGAAAATAAAATTTTAGTTTTTTTTTTTTGCTTTTGTTGCTAGCTTGATACAAGTATAGCTTCATCAATCATTCCAATTTAGAATTGGGCTATTCTGAATAGAAATTTTGTATATTATTTAGCAAAATTAAAATTTTAAAATTAGTAATTAGAGTTAGAATTAGGGTAGATTAGAATAGATTCCAATTTAGAATACAATATATATTTTATTGTGGTTTTCGAAATAGTAGAAATGAGTTAAAAAAATTTTCTCTAGTATATCTAAATACTGTGTATACTTATATTCTATATTACCTTAGCATATTGATTTAAAATCAATGTTTAATTATATACATATTGTATATACTTATTGTTTGAAATAATAAATAAATCAAGTATTGATCTTCAATCGATATGCAAGGTAATTCAATATACGAGTACCGTATACCTCTGAAATTAAGCACCCCTCAGAGCAATTTTTATAGCCAAAATTCCCGTGATCTAATAATCAAATCTACATAATTTTGATACCATTCAAATCAGCTTGCCAAAACGATTCGAATAGTATCAAAATTATGCAGATTCAATTATTAGATCACGAGAATTTTGGCTATAAAAATTGCTTTAAGGGGTGCTTAATTTTGAAAATATATGGTATATGCGGTATATGGGTATACTTGAAAAATTTTTTACTTATTTTTAACTATTTCAAAAACCATAATAAGATAATATATATTTTTAAATAAAATAATATATAAATACAGTATATTTAAAATAATATTTAATTATTTTTATAATATTTAGTTACTAATATAGTATAATTTTATAAAAAAATAATTTACCAATTATGTATATCATTAAGCGCTGTTAAATATTTTAAATTAATACTATCTTGTGTTGATAAAAATTGTGTTTCAATTGTTTCATTATTTTCATCATCATTATCATCATCATTATTATCATTATTATCATCTTCTATAAGTTCTTTTAAATTATCATCACTACTTTCTAATCTTTCTACAAATGATTTTACATTATTAAAAATTCCTTTTTTATAATATTGTATACAATATTCACATCTATTATGCTTTTTTTTATAACAATCTAAATGATATCCATGTCTACAAATTAAATAAATTCATTTCCTTCTGTAGTTTCAACAAGATCTTCTTTACAAGCATCACATTGTTTTAATGTAGGTGGAAATGATGAATGATATCCAGTAGGAAAACATTTAATATCTACAGTTAGTTGAAGAGCTGATAATATAAATTTTTGCTTTTTTTTAGAAAATTGAGTTTTTCCAATATTATTATAAATAGAATGAAAAGTTTCTAATAAAAATATTGATGTTTTTTGAATTAATATCTCTAAAGTTGAAGAAGAGTATGGATATTTTCGTGTATTTTTAAAAGAATTTATAAAAGAATAATTATGATGATTTAATATATATGTTTGTTTTTTTATAGTATCAGTTGAATCTTTTGAAGTTGTATTTGCTCGAATCTTACTATGAACATTTTTAACAAAATAATCGTTAAAATTTACAAGATAAGATTCTAATATTTTACTAAATGGATAATTTGTATCTTTCCAATAAAAATAATCAGATAAAAATACCAAAGGTGCTTTGTCATAATTTTTCTATTCCATTGTAAAGCAAATGTCCAAATTCGAAAAATCATTTCTATATATTCTTTAAATAATCCAGATCTAAAAAGAATAGCATATATATCTAAAGCTGCTAGAATTAAATTATCTAAAAGATCAATAAGCATTCTATATTCTATATCTTTGTATAATTTAGGAAATTTTAAAATAATTATATTACTAATTTTTTTCCAACTTTTACTTGCTAATTCCAAAAGAAGATTAATTTTATAAGGCTGAAGGTTTTTAGCTAATTGTTTTTTTTTTAATCCAAAAACAAATTTATATAATTTGTTAAAAAATTCGTAATAAACTATTAAAATATGTTGTCTTGTATTTAAAGAAACATGTAAAGGTCCCAAAAGTTTTTAATATTTGTTGAAATAGTAATTTGTAATTTGGATTATTTTTTTGAAAATTTAATTCTTTTTGTAATAAAGTAATAGCTTTTCGAATATATAATTGCCCTGGCCAATCTGCTACAACTGGTAAAATATTATATTTTAAATAACTATATAATGCTGGTATTTGTGTTATCATTGAAAGTGCTTTAATATAATCTGTTGTTGATTTTAATCTATATTCTTCAATATCAACAATTTGTACATTTTCTATTGATCTTTCTTCTTTTCGTTCACAAATTGCATCATTATAAATATGAATTGTAAGAAGCTCTATTCAATCAAAATGTTGAAATTTTTGAATATTTTGATTAGTTCAATGAAATTTTTGAGCATTATAACTTATATCAAAAGTTCCATTATATTTTTCAAGCAAATATTTGTTAATTAAACTTGCATCAACATTAAGGGGATTAAAAAATGAAATATTATTAAATATTGCTGAAATTGGTGCACAATTATTAATTCTTTTTGCAACACAAGTAGCCATATGATATACATTTGATAATGATGTAATATCTGATCTTTTATAAGAATGAATTGAATGATAATCATCAATATTAAAAACATGTATAGCATTTTGCTAAATAAATAAAATATTAAATTAATAAATTAAAATAAAATAGATTTAAAATTATTATTAAAATTTACTTACATAAAATGTAAAATAATTAGAAATTTTTGTTAGATGTTCTTTTGCTATTTTTTTTTTTATAATCATCAATTGTTTTATAACATGCTGAAATTCCGAGATTTGCTAATGTATCTATTGCAGAACTACTACATCCAGATGCTAATAAACAAAGCCCAATTTCTATTTTTAATTTATTTCGAGCTCCAGCAAGAAGATAACAAAATCCAACTGCTATTTTTTTATCATTTTCTCTAGTTTGATAATCTCTACTTTTTGAACTTATAGCATTAAAAATTTCATCAAAAAATCCTTCAAGTAAAAAATTAGGCTTTGTAATTAATTCTGAAAATTTTTTAGGATCTAATTCTATTGGATTATTTAATCTTCTTTGCTTTTTAAAAAGAATTTTAAAAGTAAATCTAATTTATTTTCAAAATTTAAAGCTAAATATTAATAAAATTATTATTAGTATTAAAAAAATAAATAAAATAAATAAAATATAATAAATTAAAAAAATTTTATTTGATGTTAAAATGTTTAAATTTTTATTTAAATTTCGATTTTCTGCTTGAAATATTTCTAATTGATTTGTTCTATTAATTAATTTTATAAAATCATCTTTATTTAAAATAATCTCATCATTTGCAATATCAATTGTAATATCTTTCCATTCATTATCAATAACTTCTGAAAGTGGAAAAATTTCATAAATTTTTTTATTAGTAATAAATTCTACTGATTTTTTTTTGTTATTTCTATCAGGCTTCACAATTATTAAATAGTGCATATCACATAAATGATCATTTATTTCTAAATAATTATACTTATCAAATGTATCTTTTGCAATTGATTTGTTTTTTGCATATACAGTAAACTTATAATAACGAGTAACTTCATTATTATCACAATCTTTAACTTTGCAAGGACCTTGGTTTTGTTCTCATAGTATTTTAAATTTTTTTTTTAGAAAATTTTAAATTTAATTGATAAAAATTCAAATTGTAAAATTTTTTTATTTTTATATTTATTCAAGTATTTATATATTTTTTATTTACTTATGTATTAAATTTACACATTTATTTATTTGCTTATATATTTATTTATTCGTATATGCATTTATGTATTTATTTATTCACTATCACATTTATGCATTTATTTATTCGCTTACACATTTATGTATTTATTTATTCATTTACATATTCATTTATACTTATTCATTTATTACCCAAAATATTTATTCTATATAGAATTTTAAATCAATTTAGATAAAGAACTTTAAAATAAAAGATTAGATACTGCTAATCATAAATATCTAGTATTGTGCACTCCAAGATTTTATCTGATTCTATAGTACAGTTCATTAAACACAGCAAAATATAAAATAATACGTATAGTGTAGTCGGTAAAGTTGGCAGGTGGGTTTTTCAGATTTTAGGATTTTTGGATAAATAATTTAGAATAGCTTCTAAAATAGCTATGTATCCAAAAATAGAGAATTCTTCTTATTGGCAAACAATAATTGATATAATCATTACTATTAAAATTAAAGCCAAGCGCCTTAATCATTATTTAGCGGAAAATAGTTTAAATTAGTCAAGCATGTTTATTATTAAGATGAATATGCATAATTGATAAAGCTTATTATGTAAATATGATATTTTTTATTAATAAAAAAGATTGAATCGACAAACTTTTTACAACAAACGTCCTTTTTTTTTATACCTGTCTTGAAAATTTTACAATCAATTAAGTTTTCAAAAAGACTGCATGAATTATTATTTTCTTGCACTAAACGTTTTTATGAATGATAAAAAAACCAGAGGCTTAAAAAACAATATATTTTGTTGTCACCAATTATCCCTTAAATTGTAACACAGGCAAATTTGCCTGCGAAGATTTTTACTAATTTTTTTAATATTTAAATTTT